ATCCTCGGCCGCTGCGGCTCCTGCTCCTGCTCTGCAGGGAGACACTGGTCACGGCGTGGAGGGGCACAGCGCCCGGCACAGCCCAGCCCTCGGCACCTGGGAGCGTCCTCCTGCCTGTGAAGGGGGCACCCACCTGCTTCCCACAGGAGCCAGAGAGTTAACCCAGGACTCCAGGCGCCTCCAAGAGGGAAGGAGAAGAGACGTGAACAGCGTGAACCAGGCTGCAGATGAGGCCACCAGAGGCTGAGCTTACCCCTGAGGGACAGCTGCGCCCAGACCTAAGGCAGCGAGAGGGAGCCAACGCAGGGCCCCCGTTCCCTCCTGCCTCTCTGCAGCTCCACAGGGACAGGCCCGTCTCACCTGAAGCTGCGCGGAGCACCCGGCAGGCTGGGGTGCCAGGCCACAGTGGCGCTCACCCAGGCCGCCCTCAGAGTCCCCGGGAGAAAGGGCCCCTGCCAGCGCCCACACGCGTTCTAATTTGTCTGGAGGGACCAGGCATCAGTGTTTTAGTCCCGGGGGCTTCACCAGGGACAGACTGTGCGGTCAAAGTGAGACCCACACAGGCCGCATGCAGCTGTCCTGCAGCCCCTCGTCCCGGGGCCGACGGCATGGCCCCTGCAGCCCAGGCCAGAGCACTGCTTTCGGGCCCCCGACTCCGCCACCCCCCAGGCCCATGTCGGTGCCCGAGCTGCCTGGCGGGGCTCAGCCTCAGCCTCTGCCTCCTCGGCCGTGAGGCTCCAAGGACACGAGGACACGGATGCTCCGCTGGCCTTGACTCCGGCTGCAGCCTGGTGCCCCATGTCCACAGCATCTCAGACCCAATGTTTCCCTCCAAACTTGCCCTCCCCAAGCTTCCCTGACCCCTGACCCTGATGTCACCCCTGACCCCGGGCCCTCTACCCAGCACTGCCCAGCCACCCCTCATCTTCCCCTGCCAGGCCCTGCACACAGCCACCCTTGGGCTCCAGGGCTGTGCCAGCCCACAGTCCCGTCCCCTCCTCCAGGGCCCCCTCATGGTGGCCGATTCCAGGCCCTCCCAGCCCTACTCTGCAGTGGGGGCGACAGCGGTGGCAACAGCAAGGACACGACGGATATGCAAATTCAAGGACATGTCACTTCAACAGAGGGCACCCTGCTCAAGGTCAGGGAGCTGACGGAAGGAGGCGAAGATGCAGGAGCAGAGCTCTGGCCCGTGACGCGGTCCCAGCCGCCCAGTGCCAGCAGCAGCCTCGCCCTCACCCAGCCAGCCGGCCTGGGGCAGAGCAGCCCACACACGCAGACATCCCGTGGCCGCCCTGTCCTGAGACCAGGCCGAGGGCCGGGCAGCAGGAAGGGGCTCGCAGCCTGCACAGGACAGACACGCTCCCGCAGCAAAGCTCCCACCCTCCACCCCCCTCCCCGGGGTGGGGAGACACCTGCCTCGCCTGCACACCTGTGCCCCCACTGGGCTCTCGGGGAGGCGGGGCCAATGTCCTCTGGGCAGGGAAGCCGCAGGCTGCAGGGAGGTCCTGGCTCAGCCTGGACAGCGTGGGCGGTGCCCGGGGCTGAAGGCACAGGCCCGGGGCCAGGGCATGACCTTGGCAGGAAGCAGTCCCTGCCCCCAGTCCTCACACTGAGGCAGCTAGTCTGTCTCTGGGAGCCAGGACTCGGCTTCTAAACCTCATGCCCTCTCTGCTCCCACGGCATTTCTGATGACAAGAAGGGATGTGGCTGCCAGGGCCCACGCGGGCCTGCAGGACACGTCATGAGGGGACAAGAACGCCCTGGGCCGGGTCAAGGCACCTGCCCTGCCTCCCTCTGGCAGAGACCCCGCAGGGCGGGGCCTGGACTCACCATATCTGCTCTCTGCTTCTGGCTGCCCAGCTCCTCCAGCGCCTGTGACAGCTGAGCCTTCAAGACAAGACAGAAAGCGCGGTTAGTGGGCCCCCCATCTCTGCCACCCCACGCAGACGAGCCCGGGAAGAGCTGGCGCCTGGGGCGGGAGGGGAACCGAGGGCAGCTGGGAGCCTGTGCTGGAGCGGCTGCAAGGCAGCAGGCATCGTGGGGAGACAAGGTGGGTCGTGTCCTGGGGGCGGGAGAGCATTCGCCTCCTTGGTTCCGGAGGAGGAGGGGCCAACGTCCAGGAAACCCGATGCCCCGCCCACTGCCACCAGCAGGACTTGGGGACCAGGCGAAGGACCCCCCACCCCGGTGCACAGACACGGAAAGCTCCCTCCCTCGGCCCCCAGACGCTCAGAGGCCATGCTGGGCACTCAGGGGCTGACTGGCCTGGGCTCAGCGCAGCCCTCAGCAGCAGGGGTTACACTGGGACCACAGCGCAGCAGCAGCTGGGACGGGGAGGACCAGCAGGTGTGCGTGCACGAGCCTGCGGGGCGTGCGGTGCGCCCTGACGTCTGAGAGCCCGAGGCCCGAGTCTGCATCCTCACATGTGACCTCAGAGGACGGGACAGGGCTCGGCAGGGGGTGGGGGCAGGAGTTGTAGCTGTCACCGCCCACACCCCCCCAGCATTGATTCGGATGGCCACCCACGGACGAGAACAGAAAAGATCAATGAACGAAGCTGGTTTTCAAAAAGATAAACAAAACTGACCAGCCGTGATCTAGATGAGCTGAGGAAAAAGGAGGAAGACACAGATAAATAAAATGAGAAACGAAAGAGGAGAAACATAGACACTACGAACAGTCACACCAATGACCAGAGACCCCGGAGGAACCGAGCAAACTCCCAGAAGCACACGGCCTGCCCAGGTGGAGCCGCGGCGACATGGGAATCTGAACAGATGACCACTAGCAAGGAGGCTGAATCAGAAAGAAAAACCCTCCCCACAAGCAAGGCCCAGGACCAGGCGGCTTCTCTGGTGAGTCCTACCAAACCTTCACAGGGACTGACAGCGATCCTTAAACTCGTCCAGAACCAAACGAGGGGACACGTCCCCATCCACCGTGCGAGGCAGCACTCCCAGGCAGCCGAGGCAGACAAGGACGCCCCAAGAAAGGAAAACCACAGGCCCAAGCCCGTGGTAAACATCAATGCGAAATTCTCAACAAACATTAGCAAACGGAACCAGCGATAAAGGGCGCAGACACCATAGCCGGTGGGGTTATTCCAGGGATGGTTCAATACCCAGAAATCAACCCCCGTGACTCACACATGAACACACGCAGGATAAAGCAACACGAGCATGTGGACAGACGCAGAAAGCACTTGACAAAATTCAACGTTCGTTCATGATAAAGAATTAACCAGGTGCCAGAGGAACAGACGCCGACATGGTGAAGACCACACACGACAAGCCCACTGCTAACGTCACACGCCGTGGTGAGAACGGCAGGTTTTCCTCTACATCGGGAACAAGACAAGGAGGCCACCCTCCCCACTGCTATTCACCACGGGGGTGCACGTCCCGGCCACGGTACTCGCGCTGAGAAGAAAGAAAGGCATCCACACAGGAAAGGAAAGAGGAAAATTACCTGCTTCATGGAAAACAAGACTCCACCAGAAAACTGTAACAACTAGGAAATGAATTCAGTGAAGCTGCAGAGTATTAACATAATACAGTGGGGCCTTGACTTACGAGTTTAATTCGTTCCGTGACGGAGCTCGTAACTCAAATTACTCGTATGTCAAATCTTAAAGTGAACGAGTGAGACACGTGATGCTGGGCTGATGTTGTGGCGTTCACTGTGACGTTCGCTGCGCCAGCTAGCGGTGGGGTATCTGAAGCTGGCTCGTAAACCGAATTTTAGCTCGCAACTCAAAGCAAAAAATCGGCCGAGAGACGGTGCATGTCTTGAAAAACTCGTTAGTCGGGACACTCGTAAGTCAAGGCCCCACTGTATACAAAATAAGTTGCATTTCTGTACACTAACAACACACTATCTAAAAATAAATAAGCCAATCCCATTTACAATAGCATCAAAAACAGTAAAAAACTCAGAAACACATTTAACCAAGGAGGTAGACCTGCCCAGTGAAAACAGTAAGACACTGATGATACTAGTAGAAACTGAAGAAGAACACGGAAAGATAGTCCATGTTCATGGAAGAAGTGTTAATGTTAACATGTCCGTACTGAGCTACAGATTCAATGTAATTGCTGTCAAAGCTCCACTGGCGCCCAGGCCGGTTTGGTTCAGTGGATAGAGCGTCGCCCTCAGACGGAAGGGTGGGGGGGAGCACGAACCTCGGTTGGAGGCTCAAACTCCAATTGATGTGTCTGATTGTCTGATTCCTGCTTCTTGGGGAGAGTGAGGGAGAGCGACCTGAATCCCGCCTGGGCAAGTTCCCTGCCCATCTCCCACGAATCTACTTCACAGGAATCAGAAAATCGTTAAGTTTCTTTATCAAAACAGGCTAAAAATTCAAATCCTTTTTCATTCTTATTTTATTGGGTTCAAAAAAAAATAAACATATATATATATATACTAGAGGCCTGGTGCATGAATTCGTGCATGGGTGGGGTCTGGCTGGCCCGCCTCAATAGGGGCCGATGGGATGGGCTGGTTGGGGGGAGGGGACGTGGAGGTTGGCTGGCCGGCCACACCCCTGATCAGGGTGGGGGAGCCAATCAGGGGGCCGATCAGGGACAGGGCCGGCCAGGGGGGAGGGGCCTGGGCAGTTGGTGGGCCAGCCTCCACCCCCTGGTTGAACTTGGGTCAAACTCGGGTCGAGGGGATAATTTGCATATTATCCTTTTATTATATAGAACTAGATAACATGT